CTGGTCATAGTTTAGGATTCATTTATCCATCTTTTAAAGTACTTCACGACCCTGTGCGAAAAATTGCTACTACCGTTGCAGATTTTGGCGAGAGTGCAATTGGAAGAGTTGCTCCAGCTGACTCTGGATTCTTGTGGATTATTCTGCTCCATGGATACACAAAGTTTACTGTCAGTTCAATTCTTGCTTTTTGTTTTACCATTAGTAGCACCCGTCATAAAGTTGTCCACTAAATAGTACGATATGCTGGTGAGCAGCAGCATGGCTTAGAAAACTAGCGACAAAATGAAATTAGCAGATCCTAATGTCTGAAGGTAATTGATCAACTTACTTCAGCTACTTAATCTTTCAAAGGGAATCCAGAAACCTATCTCGTTTACAATCATTCAGTATATCCAAGTAGATAAATTTAACATATATGAAGTAGACTAAATGTGACAAGATATACTGCTTAGAAAAATAAATTTGAGAAAGCTATAAATAGAAACAGTAGCCAAGTGGAAAAGCACCTGTTTATGGTTGAGAGCAAGACTGAATAGGACACATGCTGAAAGCTGCCTCTCAGATAGAACTGCAGCAACAGCACCCACTGTAAGGCCCAAGCTGATACAGTTGTACTGAAACAAAACTACTAATGGATGAGAAGATTATATTATCATAGTTCAGAAAAAGGAGTGAAAAGAAAAAGGCTAGATTACAGAGCAGAAGAGTTTTCTAAACCTGAAAATGACCATGGTCAATTAAGATCAGACAAGGATTGAGTAGAATCATTGCGATGTGCCACGCTACATCACTTTTACGATTTCTGTTCTGACTAGCACGGTACACTAACACAAAATAAAGAACTGCCGGAAAGAATATCAACACATCAGAGGATAAAACAGTCCACCTCATGAGTAATTTTCTGCAGGAAAAACACAGGAGAAGAAATAGAAGGGGGAACACAAATGACACAGTTAGAACCAGATTAAGTTTAAATCAGGGAAAAAAAGGTAGCATTATGTTACCCACCCAAGATAAGATTCATGTCCACGTGAAGTGAACAGATAAACTGATTGCGGGTCAAAGGATCTGAGGAACAGACCATGAATATAACTCTGGTATGCAGTGAGTGGAGGGTAATCAAGTCCCCAGTAATTCAGATCATTGTCAGTGCTATTCCTGTACCATTCTTTAGCTGGAAGATTTAGGGTGATCTCCATCCAATGCCTCTGTGCTTCATAGTCACCAAATTTGGGAGGGATGCCAGCACCAGAGTAAGGATGAAGAGATACAGCTATCCGAACCAATATGGCAAACACGGCGATACAAAAGAATGAGACAGTAATGCCTTTGTGTAACAACCACCACCATGTATCATCAAAGTTACCACCATCATCAACAAATACCTTCCTTTTCATCACCTCTGTGCCCTTCTTCTTTCCCATTTCCCTCTCTGGTTTTACTGTGCTGCAAGGTCCATTAAAAGTCCGCCTCCTTTGGAATCTGAGCTTCATGCATAACAATCAAAACTCAGTAGAGGTTACGAGATCGATGGATCCTTTCAGGCTTCAACAATAATAGTAAAAATACACTCCATCCATGAAAAGGAAAAAGCACAGCAAATATCCAAATAAATGTGAAATCAAATTCCGTTCCCTACACGCAAATATAATTTCTTCAGTAAAATTAATCCTCTCCATCACCCCTTTTTTTCATTATCACACAAAAGCAAGGATGTGTAATTTAAAAAATTGAACAATAAAATGCAAGATCAAACGCATTCCAAAATGCCACCCATCTTTCTTTGCCAGATGAAATGCAAGATCCTTTTTCTTGTTTTAACATAGAAGATCAAATTCTTCCCATATCAAAATTGCTACTCATCCAACTCAAAACACCCAACTAAACCTACAAGTTCAACTGCCATTCCAAAAATTTTCCTAATTCCTTAATACATCGTTGTTAATATCTGAACCATATGATTAATCAACCTAATTCCAAACAAAAGAAAAAGAAAAGTTCATATTTTTTTAATTATAATATAAAATTATACAACCTACTACAAAACCGTCAATATCTATGAAAGAAGAAGTTTGCATACAGATTCCGTTATGATTTACCAGTTCCAGCCAACGGCGAGAGGCAGACACCAAGACTCAGAGACGAATAAGGGGAAAAGAACCTTCACCGCAGAGGGATCACGCTCAGACCTAGAGAGAGTACGCGGTCAGGACCCGCAAGTAATCGGCCTTGCGTGAACGATGACAGCGAAAGAGTCGCCCTCAGATCTCTGCAGAGATCGGAGAGCTGGAGAGTTGGAGACTGGAGACTGGAGAGAGAGAGAGAGAGAGAGAGAGAGAGAGAGAGAGAGAGACACTGTAAACTTGAGTCTCTTCGTTTCCTTTTCCCGAGTTAGTTTCCTGATTGGGCTGAGATCAGATGGGCTGGGCTGATATGGGCTTATGATGGATGTGTTGGGTTGAGTTTTGTGGGTATAAGTATATGTATATATGTATATATATATATATATATTTAAGAAATTATTTTCAGTTAATAAAATCATATGGGTATATGTATATATTAATTAAAATATAATTATATTGTTTAGCAAGTATTAAATTTTATTTTTCAAATTAAAATATAAAATTTGACATCCTATTTTACCCTAATACAAAAAGGATCAACTTCTTTCCTTACTCTAACTTTAACATACAATTTGCTAATCTTATTATTACATTTAATTAAAATATTATTTGCACTAAAAAAAATAATTTACTTCAAATAGTTTATAATTAAATATAATTTAATACAATGTACACACAAAGTAAAAAAATTTTATTTTATTTTTATTACGTAGAGTAATTATATATATATATATATATAATCGTATAAAAATAATAAAAATTAAATATAATATGATAAATATGAATCAAATATCATTATCGATGCCTTAATTTTCAAAGATTATTAAAAATATAAAGACGATAGACTAAGTCAATAATTAAATTTTCGTAATACTTACGTAAGAGTAATTACAAAGGTGTCGTTATCATGCGAGCTTTATGTTAATGTCATTAGGGTTCCACATCATAAGTAATAAATTTGGGCGCTACAAGTTGTGGAATAGACAGGGTGTACGCATACCCACATACATATCTATCAAGTCTCTATGTCATATATAAATACATTTGAAAAGTAAAATTTGAAAATTTAAAATTAAAATATAAAAAAATAGAACGTAAAATTTATTGAAAATTAAATATAAAATTAACCAAACTTTTTGTAAAAATTACGTTCTAAAATTCTCCCGTACGAATTGGCGGTGAATGGTAAGATAAGACGAGCGATGGCGTGGCCGCCGCACAACGTGGACCGAGTCATGGCGACATGCCGCTGTGGCAGAAGTGCCGAGCGCTGACTGGGAGGACACGTGTGGATGGCACGGTTCGGAGATGTCCCAGCTGGTATCGACTCATTTCTTCCTACTTTTGGGTTTTAAACTTATTATTTTTCTATTAAGGTTAGGTGGACTACCCTGTACATTTTTCAAAAGAAACCTTTTAACTAGTTCTAACCTGGTAAAATTGCGTGTTACGCATAATATATGTATGTATGTATGTGTATATATATATATATGTGTGTATGTACTTTTCTAGAACATATTGACCGTTCCCCCCCATTGACTCACCTGCAAACGAGTTCTGTGGTTTCTTCGGCCGAAGGTCACGTGACAATTTCAAAGTTTTTTTTTTTTTTTTTTATGGGAACAATTTTGAAAAGCTGACTAAAAATCTCAAATGGGTCCTCAGTTCTCCTGGTTTATTCAACTTTGACATCAACAATTTACATATATAAAAAGATACAACCAACATGACAACATATAAATATATACATAGGGGTTTTTTATTATAGCCTGCCAAACCATAACTGCTGTGAGGTTCTTCAGGGGTTTTTGCCTGTGAAACTTGAAGTTTAAGGTGAGTCAGAGAAGGAGAAATATTATGGGTAGGAAACTGGATGCTCTGCTTGGCAGAAACTTCAGGGCATCCAAGTTCAAGACCCTGGTTAAGCTTGCAGTGTCCAGGATTGCCTTCCTCAAAAACCAGCATCGAGTCCGGTGCTCGCTTGCCAGGTCCGACGTCATTGAACTTCTTCAGCTTGGTCACCATGACCGTGCTCTTCTTCGGGTGAATTCTCAGTCTTTTTTCTCTCTGTTTCATGTGCATGTATGGCTTGCAACTTGCTGAGATTGAATGTGGGTCTGTTTGCAGGTTGAGCAGGTGATAAGGGAGCAGAACATGTTGGATGCGTTTGTTATGATAGAAAACTACTGTCATCTTCTCATAGAGAGAGTTGTACTGATTCAAAAGAACAAGTGTGTAGTTTTTTCTCCTATTCCAGTACTCAATTTCATATCAGAACTGGCTGCATGATTTATCTGATACGTGCCTGTGTGTATATATGTGTTTTCTTCTGTTGTAAGTTGGTAGATCGCTACTGTGGTATCTCGGAAGTATCGTGTTTCATAATAACTTTCTAATTTTTCATATTAATTTAGTTATTTCGTGGAGTAATCGTCTAGTACTTAGACAATTACCACGAAAGTATTATAATCTCTCGGACACGCCGTAGGGTTTTAAAAGCTTGTGGAAGTACTGATAGTGTTAAATGTTGTGTGAATGTTTCTGTGCAGAGAGAGAGATTGTCCTGACGAACTCAAGGAGGCGATATCAAGCTTGATTTTTGCAGCTTCACGGAGTGGAGAATTTCCAGAACTTCAACAAATTCGTGGGGAATTAACTTCCAAATTTGGGAAAGACATGGCTGTTCGTTCTGTTGAATTGCGCAACAATTGCGGGGTGGATCCAAAGGTAGGGAATTGAAGGATTAGTTTACAGTAACTCAATATCAAATTAAGAACTTGTACTACTTTTTTACTGTTTAAATTTATGAAATACACAATTTTTGAATTCGTCCTTGATGAATTTAAACGGTAAACAGAACACAGATTAGATGGAACTTGTCTCCAGGTTAAGCTATAGAATTTTATGAAATTAGATGGAACTTGTCTTCGGGTCGAGCTTTAGAATTTTATGACAGTTGAACGGTTCAGCTTCACATTAGTTTCTTCTCACATTTTCTTTTTAAACATTTTATCAGATGATACAAAAGTTCTCGACAAGACGCCCGAGCTTGGAAAACAAAATGAAAATACTGAAAGAAATTGCTTCTGCAAATAATATTGCACTTCATTTTGAGGAAGATGCTCCTGCAAATACTGAGGTAAGGGTTCTTGTATTTACTCATAATATGTACAGACAGCTGATTTTTACTTTTTGAATAGTAAACTTTTTTTTTTTTCTTTTGAAATAAACTTTTTGAATGACTAATTTAAAATTATTACAGGAGAAATTAGGTGTAGAGCAGAAGCAGAAGAAGCCAGAGCCTGAAAAACCAAGAAACTTGGATAATCTGGCAGCTGGCAGTGACAAACATGAGTTATCTGAAGAATTTAAAATAGATGAGAAGTTATCCGAATCTATTAAAGGTGGAAAAATGTACAAAGATGTAGCTGCTGCTGCACGAGAGGCTTTTAAATCAGCTGCATATGCAGCGGCAGCCGCTAGAGCTGCTTTTGAACTCTCCAGATCTGAATTACAAGACAATAATGCAGATGATCAAACTGATTCAGATGATCACGATAAGATGGACAACTCTGAAGGGTCATTAACACCTGAAATCTCAAACGTCCCAAGTGAATCAAATGATCATGAAATGATGGATAACTTGGAAGCGTCATTAACAGCTGAAATCTCAAACGATCAAAGTGATTCAAATGATCACAAAAAGGTGGACAACTCTAAAGGGTCATTAACACCTGAAATCTCAGGTGATGAATGTGAGTCTTCGGAAGGATCTAAGCATTCAAATTACATATTAGAGTTCGACAACATCCATCCAGTTGATAACTTCAGCTTGGATACAGAAGGCTCAGACATGGCAGAGAAGATCAATCAGACTGATCAGGAAGAAATGCAAGATGACAAAGAAAAAGAGGTACAAAGGATGCCACCTGCTAATAGTTCAGATTCTCACAAGGGCATACTGATCGGCAACAATCTATCTTCCAAATCAGATCTTGTGGCACTGCAAGATGATATACAGAAAATACTGTCTGCTAATAATTCAGATTCTCACACAGAAAGTTCGAATGATGGAAAACTTTCTTCAGATCAGTCATGCGAGAATGATCAGTTCAGAAATGAAATAGTTGGGAACAGAGTTCATGATTTGGATCTTGAATTGAAATGTTCCCTACCCACAACTGAATCTGAAATTATCAAAGAGAATAAGACGGTTGAGGAAGAAAATCTTTTGAAAGAGGATGAAGAAAACCTACCAAATCGATCGCCAAAGTGGATTCCATTAAATTCCAGAGCTGATACTACAAAAAAACCTATGGCAGGAACCTCGACGCTGACAAGCACACAGAGCTTGATTTCTAAAAACCACCCACTATCAGATCATTTAGTCATAAACAAGAAGTGGGTATCAGTGAGGACAAGAACAGAACATCATGTTTAAGTAGCACTTATAACTGATGCTCTTCCAACTGTTTATGTAGTGCAATCATGAAACCTAAATTTTGTAGAGCATCCACATTATTGCTATTATACAGTGCTGGGACAGAGTCTAGGTTAGATTTGTTTGTCTACATGGAATAAATCTTTTTTGCTATTAAACATACAGAATAAATTGTTGTTAAGTTAGAAAGTTTAGCCATCATTTCCTATCGGAAATAGAGAATTTTCTTTGGAGGTGCATTTGGTTCTTGGTTAACTTTCTTGAGTTATGGTTTATATTAAGAGAAATTGTTACAGAAAGCTCCTTGTAGAGGGAAATGAATCAGTACCTCATCCCAAATTTGCTAAAACTGGCCACACTGTTGCATGCTGAGTTTTCAATCGGCATAGTACTAATCGTTTTGTTTCTAACCAATTACTATCTCTTTCCTTCTTCAGGAACAGAAATTCTTTTATGATCAATCTGTTACTGTTCTTCAAAAACAAGCTGCAACTTCTTAGCTATGACAATGTGAAACTGTTAATTCTCTTGCAGATAACCATGTTCTTCTGCTCTCCTTTCAGAAAGTTGAAATTCCCTATAAGGTGAAAACTATTATTTAGGCACCGGTCCTTAAAAGAATTAATACCAATGATTTGCTTCAAGTTTGCAAACCCCATATTGGTCTTTCTTGATGTGTGCTTCACGTACTTTCAGAGTTTGGAACATAACATCCACTTATTTCTGCATTGCGAGGTAGCTTGGAAGGTATAAAGTAGACTTTTCTCATCGTTTGGACTAGGCTTGTCTTTTGCCCTCTAAATTAAGAGATTTTGTTTCTACTGTTCTCTTTTTGTGGTTTGGAATATTCCACCGTTTGGAAGTAGGCTATATGTAGTTCTTTGGTTGGAGAAAAATGCAAGAATTTTCAACAATCTCCCCCTATTATGTTAACAATATTTAGGTAGCATTGTGCACTTGGCTTTTTTGCAGACAACAGCATGCCTTAAGTTTCCTCTTTCTGCACTGCAAAGGGATTGAGTTCCACATTTTTGTTTTATTTGTCTTCTTTGCATCTTTTCTTCTTTCTGGAGGATAGCTTATCCTCCTTTAGGTTGTGTTTCTTATTTCTTAGTTCTGCAGATTTAGTTGATAGAGGCTACCGTATCTAAGGTTTGATACCTAATGCTACCGCTATCCTGCTTTGGGAGTTCATAACTAATAAATAAATTAAAAAAATTCCCATGACTATGAATATACATGCTCTACAGTCTAAAACCATATTCCATTTCTGATTCAGCAAGAGGCCATACAAACAACACAAAGAACTCTAATACAAAATTGCAGTACAACAAAACAACCCCATCATTTCATGATTCAGAAGCCTATAATAAAAAATAAAAAAAATCGTTAATTTTTTCTAAGAACACACAAACAAAAAAGAGGCCTAGAAAAATTTAAAGCTTTCATATAAAAAGGTTTAAGGCAAATTGCCAGCACTTGCATGCCACAAATTGATGACATCTGTAGCCTGATTGAGAAGGTGAACCCTCTGCATCTGTGATATCCAGCGCTTGCTCTCAAGCAAAACCTTGAGCTCTTCCCAAGCATCCTTCCTAGGCCAAAAGAAGTAAGGACTCAAGGGTATTGTGCCATAGCCTGGTACAGTTTGGTCCAAAGCGATACCAATGTCCTTTTCCATCCAAATGAACTTCAACACAAGCCTAGGCTTCTCCAGTGGCTTCACAACTACTCTGAGCTTCTACATCCCCGACAACAAACAAAAAAATAAGGGAAGAAAAAAGTGATTCATGGACTTGATGCTTGGTTTGGAAGCTAAGAAAATGAAGGAAATTATTACACTGATTTCAAGTTTAGACATCCAAGTTTGTTCCCAATCCTGTAAATCTTTTCCTCTACAAAATTGCATGAAGAGGAAAAATGTTGCCAATCAATTTTCAAATTCAAGTAGTTCTCCAATTACCCATTTTAACATTATGACACCATCCAAGAGATAGATGGAACTTTCTCAGTGCAGATAGGAGACATTCAAAATTTTCATTTTGTTTGGTATCGGAGAAATGGACAAAAAAGAGTGAAAAGCATCAGATGTGGTCATTATCAGGTTCTTTAGTTTCGAAAGTGGAAAAACACTTGCACCTCACTGAAAATCAACCTTACAAAGAGGCAACTTAGTTCAATTTTACGCAGAACTGAAGCAATATATATATATATATATATATATATATATATTTTCTAGAAGTAGCGTCTTCCAATTCAAGCTTACTTTCTTTGATTCGACTTGAAGAGCCAAACACAGAATCAGGGAAGAAATCATCATCCCCCACAAACATGCATGTAATGTAACAGATACGAGCAGCTCTAACCTTTTTAGTATACACATTATCGGCGGAAGAATCAGGAGCGGGCAGTTGATCGGCGGCGACCTTCGGATCAGCGGAGGATGAAGCTGAGATTTTCAGTTTGGCTCCTACGGAGACTGTTGTTGACCGACAGTGAACGAATTTGAGAGCAGAAGCAGAGCATAACAGGGAAGAAGAGGCTTTGGGTTCAGTAAAGACTGAGGTTTTCGTAAGAGGTTTAAGGGCAATTACTTGAGAAGGTAAAGTTATTCTCGGTTTTAAGGACGAATTCACGCCGGTTAATAGCATTGCCATTGACAGCCCTTGTCGTGCAAGAGACTGAATGAATCACGAAGACGACGACATTGTCAGGGTTTGTTTCTTTGCCAGGCTCTTGGGTAAATGGATCGGGTAATCGGGTCTATATATGTTCTCATCGTTTCAAAACAAGCAATGGGGGCTGACTCAATAGAAGAATTTCAGTGTCAATTTTTTAATATAATATGAATATATTAATTAAAAATATTTAATTATCACAAAATATTATTTTTATAAAAAAAATATAATAAATTTATTAAAATTTATTTTAAATTAATTATTAAAATTTATTAAATATTATAAATTAATCACCATCAATTCAAAAATTTAAATTCATAATTTTTAAATAAAAAATAAAAATTTTAATTATTAAATTATTATATTATTAATCATTGTTATAATTGTAATTTCTTCAATTAAATAAAACATTTTCTTTAATAAATATGTTAAATTACAAACACTGGCTTGGAGCCCAGTGTTGCCCTCTGATTGCTTCCGTCTCCTTATAGAAGTCTTCCTCATGCCTTCAATGAAATCTAAACTGAATGTATGTAACCAAGCTGGTAGTCCAGAAAAACTAATGAGCTTCGACTGGTCTACCTTCAGTAAGATCAAGCAAAATGTCAAGACCAAGCTTCAACATGATATTTACCAGCCTTTTCCAGAGCTCTAAGCCACCTTACTGCAGAATCTTTTGGAGCCCCACTCTCTCTGGATACGATTTCCTCCAAGGTTGACAGTACATCCGAGGGCATTTTTGTTGAAGAACCAGCAATGTAGACGGCAGCGCCATTGATCAACAAATTCCATACCCTCTCGCTATATTCCTGCATTTTATGTTGCACGTAGACCTTCTGTGGCTGGTCTCTTGAGAAGGCAACATAAAATCCACCACCCTTTGCTTCTGAAAGTACCCCACCGTTTTGTAAATGGGATAACCAAAAATCTCTGTACAAAAAGTCATTCTCCTCGTTTCGGCAGCCAAAGAAGAATAAGACAGGAGCAGTTGAACCGGTGACACTTTGAATGGCTCTTTCCTCTATGAATCCACGGAAAGGTGCACAGCCAGTTCCAGGTCCAACAAGAATAAGAGGCAGTGATGATGGCGGGGAGGGGAGAGACCCTTTCTGAAACCAGGCTGGAACATATATGCCTGCTAATGACAAAACAAGTGTTTTAACAAAAGAAAAGGTGGTAAATATAATTGTATTACATTTGCCAATGTATTCCTTGCACCCATACATTGTTCCGGACTAAGACTGGCGAGCCATGATGAGCAAAGACCTTCTCGCTTCCTCTTATATGGCGTTGTCCATGACACTAAATTGACAGTCAAGTGCACTTGATTGGGATGAGCTAAAGGAGAAGAAGAAATGGAAAAAGCTCTTGGTTTCAGTGGAGGAACCAACTGCACTAGCCACTCAAATGGCATTTGCACAGAGGGGAAATCCTCTAATACCTACACCATAAATACAAGAATTAATGAGTTACGAACAAATACAAAGAAAGAAACCTGTGAAGTTTAAAAGAAGAAGCATTTTCAAGAATTTTTGGATAATTTGGCTGGAGTTAGATAAGCCGGCCAGTAAGGGTGAAATGATTCTTTTGAGCCTTAGAGAGTATATTTACTAAATTAGCTGTTACTGTATGTTGTACTACATTTTCCCAGAAGCCCCAGGGTTAAAAGAAAACAGGATTCTAGTAAAAAACCCAAGTAAACGCTTAGGAATCTGAAATTACCATGTGATACTGGAACTGCGGCACATTTAATAGAGGTATAACATTTGCAAAGAAACAAAAGTAAAGGAGACTACGAGGCCCTGCCTCCACAGTCAATTTTTCCCACCACGAGTGGGTGAGATCCAGATCTATTCAGGCCAGTTTATCTCCCCTCCCCTCACACCCAAGTTACCTATGGAGAGAAAAAATATGTAAAACAGGAAGGAAAAAAATGCTGCTGGCTGCGAACAGTGGGAAGAGCTAAAGCACTTTTCACCTCCAGAACAGTTCTCCGTTCTTTCAGGTTATATTGGTAGAGATCATCCCTTCCCTCAGGTGAAGCAAAATACTGAAGCCTGTCCTTTTCATGTTCAGCTGTTGCGAAAAAGCTCATAACCTGATAAAGGTAACAATAAATTAGTAGCACATAGATGCAGGGAAAATATCATAATCAATGGCATCAAAGAAATGGAACCAATAGTTTACATAATCTTCATGTAAACAAGAAAGGAAGTTAACAAATTATCATGCTGCAGCATATCATATTATATTTGAAGGCCACTTGATGCAGAAAATGAAGATAAATAAATTCCGAACTAAAGATTTTTTTGGGTAATAATTACCATTACTAATTATTTAGGTTATTGAGATTTATTTAGGCATTATAATGTTTGGCTTCTATTTATGCGTTTTTAAGTATTATAAGAATTAGAATATTCTAGATTTCCCCTTTCTAATTTTCATTATTAGTTGTAACTAATGCCTAATAGCTATCAACAAAAGAGAGACAAAGGATGATTAATTAAGACTACCTTGCTAGAGTTTTATAATTTTTACGATCTTTCTTCATCTTGATCCTTAGTTCTTCTAGCTCATCTCTGTTATTCTGTTTCTCATTTAAATTTTATCCATTTCTAAGTTATTCATGGGATAAGTTAATTTAATCAATAATTTTCCTACATTAGTTGGCATCAAAGCCTAACTTTATCAACTCTTCCGGCACTATTATACAACATAAAAAGAAATTAACAAAAAAAATAAACCCAGATTTTGCCACCACATACAACCAAAAAGAAAATAAGTTTCTATCCTCAATTGGAAGAAAAACTTAGGTATACATCCTACCCCATCTCAGATTGCAAACTGCCAGACCAGGGACTTACACTGCCACTACCATTGGAACTAGAGACCATCAATTGGCCTCTCCATCAATTTTCAACTGTTCATTACACAGGAAGATGTGACACTTGCTGCCGGAAGACTGGACCACCATTGCCTTTTTAGATCTCTGCCTTCAGGAACGCCACAAAGAACAACAACAACCAATCTGCAACCAGAGTCGTTAAATGAACTCTCCTTGAGAAGACCAACTCCATAAGCGACTAGAGATTGGCACGTGGTACTCATATGCCTCCAACTGTGTGGGGACATTCTATGTTAGCTACCCTATTTTGATCACTTCAACTCTCTCCAGATATGTTCTTGATTTTATTTGCAATCTTTATGAAGTAAAAATAAATAAATGCTATATTTTCAAAAGCAAAGCAAGATGCCTTAGAAAAGCATATGTTGCATTTATTTAAAATACTCGATTGACAAAATTATCGTAACAATTTAATGTTTAGAAATGAATTGTTCTTCTTGCTGTTGTCAGTTCAATTCAGAGATAATGATGAAGAGTACATCTAAACAAAAGAACACTGCATGACAGAATCAGGGATGTCAATTTAGTAGCTTGCATGAGAAATTCATACAAACAGAATCGAATAAGATAACTACAGACTCTTGCCTCAAAGAAGTAGCGTCGAGGTGATGCTGATGCAACATCCATAGTCAAGTGAACAAAAGTTCTCAATTTGATGGGGAGCTCTGACGTACTTAATTGAGTATCAGGATTGTGCTTATCCATCTCTCTAGGATGAACCTGACATTATATTAAAAAAAAAAAAAAAACCTTCAGTATAAGGTAATACATTGTAGAGAAAATTTTCATGTGGTTTCTCTATGAATTAAAATATGGCACTGTATAAATGTTGATTGAAAGTATAAAGCAACTACAAAATATCAACTGTATAAAAACAAATAGAACCTTTATAAACACAAAAAATATATTAAGGAGGAAGAAAGTTTTAAAAATGGAAGTGAGAAGATAAGATTCCTCCAAGCAAAAGAAAAAAAGGAACAAAAGCATGATACAAAAAACACCAGGACAGAATAGAGGCCTTAATCCCTATGCAAGAAGATAAAGGCATCCCCTAAAATAAACAACAAGCCTTTGCCCAAGGGTAAGTAAAGAAATTCATTCCATGCCGGTTGCAATTGATGCTTAAAAATCCTATACCTTGTTCCAGCCAAATGACCCATAAACTGGCAAAGATAGCCCATTTCCCTAAGATCTTTTGCTCCTTAATTCTGGACGAGCCTAAAATATTGAAATTGAAGGTAGGGGTAGCTCATACTTTCCTAAACATAAAGAAAAAACCTAGACTGTAAGTTCCATGACAGACAGCAATAGAAAACACAGGTGACTATTACTCTAAGAATTGTGAAAAAACATCAAACAAAATGTTGAAAGGGAAAGCTTTATGAGATCTCTGAATTTGGAGAATGTGTATGTGTCCGTCCTGTTCAAAACGACAATGCAACTGAAAGCTCTTACCTTGCAGGGAACTTTTATGTTAAAAGAAGTAAAGGGACAAAGCAATTGATATGGGTAATAGGCACACAAGATCGTGTTTGAGGGAGTCCAAAAATAATTTACAGGTAAAAACTTGAAGGATATACCTTTCAGGTTGGCAATCAGGGAGGGAAAAACCATCAAGTAAGGAAACCAAAGAAGTCAACTCTGTCAACTCTCTCTCATTCAGGTTACAAAAGAAAAAGCACACAGTTATTCTTGTTCCTTCTTAGTGGCCAAAAATAAGTCTTAAGAGTCATAGCCATTGACAATCTTGCAAAACTTCAATACACGAAGAAAAATTTGAACAATCAAATGGTAATTATAGAAAAAAGAAAAAGAAGAGAATGCTGTTGGTGATGGTAACTAATAAAAAGGCCACCAAAAAGATTGGAGAAGAGCTTCAATGTTGTATGGGAGACATGGACATAGGAAAGGTGGACTTCATGATCAAATCTGTATGGAGGTGAAAAAGGATACAGAAACCCTTTGAAGAGGAGCATCGTTTGCAGGTTGTTAGGGGTTCTCGTTAGAGCAGAATCAGAGGATTTTCGAAGACAATCTTTCCTTTTTAGTTTCTGTGAGAGAGGAGGATTCTTCTGGCCTCACTACGGGTTAAGGCTTATGACTACTTTACAAATGTTTCTGTGTCTCTGTTACATAGAATTTGGAGGGTTTGCTGTTATGGCCTTCTCGATTTAGGAGGCCTCAGGAAGATATCTTATAATCTGTGTTTGTATCTTCTATCCTCTTTTCTTCGATAATATTTCTTACTCTATAGAAAAAATATATAGAACACGGAAAAAGTAATGACTATTAACCAGATGCAGACTCACAGCAAAGTATCATCATAAGCACGTGTAGCATGCATATACAATCTATATAAAATGACAGGAAAATAACTACCATTTCAGAGAACATCTCAAACTAAGAACAAAATTAGGGAAAGTAAATGTTCGTATCCATAATGTTAAATTTTCATGTGAATATTGGTCACCATCTACAACTAGAAGTCAATGATGACCTCATGAAATCTTTGAGAACATGCATTTATTTATCTAGGAGCATTAAGGCATATACAATGCAAGATAAGAGCATCTACAGGGTAAGATTCTGGTTTGATGGGGGCAGCCTCGATGGCAGGTTTCCTAGAATTTTTGCTATTGTTCAATCTAGAAACATGGTTGTTAAAGATGCATACTGTAATGTTAACGGTAACGTTGGGTGGATGATTCCTGTCAATAGAAACTTAAATGATTGGGAAGTGGGAGAATAGCTTGAACTACTTCAAATTCTGGAAGCCCAACAGATTGGTTCCTCGAGTGATAAGGTGAAATGGAAATTGGAAAAAAATGGGGTATTTTTGGTCAAATCCTGTTACAACCAGATTACGAGGGAGAAGCTGAACCGATGCCATACAATTCCAGCCTCTCAAATTTGGAAAACCCGGATACCTCCAGAATAGCATTTTTTGGTTGGGAAGCTTGCAGAGCATTCTCACTATTGATAAGCTGAAATCTAGAGGACAGTTACTGGTTAATAGATGTTTTTTTATGCGAAATGGCTGGGAAACAGGCAACCATTTGCTGCTGTGGTGCCCTGTGGCCTTTGAGTTTTGGACCATGATTTATGGGCTGTTGGGTGTTCAATGGGTGGTTGCGGTTGGTTCTGTTATAGATGAGGTGTGGGCTTTGGATGGTCTAGATAGACAAAAACACATTGTAAAGATGATTCCTTTGACTGTTTTTTGGATCCTTTCGAAGGAGCAAAATTGTAGAGCTTTCAAGGGTATAGAAAATGACCTATATAGGTTAAGGGACAAATGACTTCACTATTTTGACTTTATTTTGCTTGATCATGACATTAGGAGTGATGTGAATTTTGCGACTGTTGTTGACTTTTTAACACATTTGTAAATCTTTTGTACATGAGTAGTATTCCCTTTTGATACCTTGTTAATATACCTATTTACATTTTTTATTTCAAAAAAATGCAAGATAAGACCATCCTCACAGTCAACTGCTGAACAAAAGCACTTACAGTGATGAAAGATTCAGGGTCCAAGTTACAGCGATTTAAAAAAGCATCCACTGCTTCGGGATCTTGACTAGGGAGAAGCTCAACAGCATCACCAACTTCATATTCAGTAGCCTGAAGGATATAAAGTAACTTCAATCAAAGAAACCAAAATAAAAACCAATAATAGGCTTGACAAATGAAATAATTCGACATTAGAAAGAACCACTGTGAACAACTTACCGATGAAACAAACTCAAATTCGAAATGTCGGACATCTTTTCCACAGTCATCTCTAGTCAAAGGTTGATTCCTTATCTAAATGAATCTTAAATGTTAGAGAGACAAAGAAGGAGAGTACTATAATCGTTAGAAAATATTATCTAATGCACATAATGAGTGCTTTTATCTTTTAGATTAACAATATAAAAACTAATCACATGCTGGGAGTAGAAAGACACTAGACATGGTTTCCAAAGAATGAAGCTGAACAGGAATAAGGAGAGACAAAGAGTTCACTTGTAATAAATATAAGTTCACATGTAGAACCATTTTGAAATGACCAAAACCAGCTTAGGAGTTTACCTGCAAAGTCGATCAAAACCAGCTAAGGAGTTTTTTTTTTGTATTAACAGTAGAAAAACTAACCAAGTGCCAGGATTAGCAAGACACTAGACATGGTTTCTAAAGAACAAAGCTGAATGGGAATAAGGCGAGACAGAGAGTTCACTTGTAATAAATATAAGTTAGATGCAGAAGCATTTTGGAATTATCAAAACTAGCTAGGGAGTTTACTTGGGAAGTAGATTCAAATTGTTCCTACAGAATGCATTCATGCTATATAAGGAAGCCTTATCCGTCCAAAATTAGGACAAATTGTTCAAACAGATCATAAAAACTCCTTTCATTGATTTTCCATTAATTCTACTTAGTTATTCAACAAATTTTTGCCTTTTTTTTTTAAATAATATATAAAACATAAATTAAAAGACTTATATAATCAAATAAACAAACTCCGGAACAACCAAAAAAAAAAAAGAACATTTCAGAAAATATGGGAAAGAACATTATAAAATATTTTGATATGTTTTCCTTCGCTTAAAAAGGGTCTCTTCAATTGAACATCAAATGGTATCAAGTCGGGGATCAGTACTCAACAACTTGACTTCTCATAAAGCCAGTGCTACCAATAATAAAAAGCCAGCAACTTGCAATCATTTTAGTAACTACTAGCAGCTTCAAATTGAGTCATTCCCCAACCTAAATCCATTTAATTTCATTTAAATACTTTCTGAACAACATTTTTGTATTAGTAACATCGTCCTCTTTTGTGTCTGTCTTTTAGGAAACAATATTGATTGAGTGCTGATCAAAGTCTAACTTATTATCTGTTACATATGGAATTTATTTCCTATATAGTATTTTCTATTATACGTCTTTCTTATATAGTTTTGTGTTAATAATTTTCTTTTTCTGGGCATAATATATGTATAGTCTCTTTCTGACACAGTAGTAACTCAGTATTTTCTTTCTAGGTGTTGAAGAAACAAGATCAAAATTGAGAATCCTTGTCATAGAGAAATATGTTCTTGATCTTCTTAACGAGGCAGGGAATGTTGGGATCCAAGCCATTTTATACTCCTACGAGTCCTAATCTCAAATTGGTTATAGATGAAGATAACTATTTGGGGATTTCAATGTGTATAAGAGATTAATTGGTTGCATTACCTCAATGGGACACATCCAGACATTTCATTTGCTATGAGTACTGTAAACCGATTCATGGATTTTCCTTGGACAAGTCACTAGGAGGGAGTTAAACGTATCTTGTGACATCTCAAAGGTACACCTACATGAATTATTCTGTAAAAATCAATCGGTTTACTTTGATTCAGGAGCGCATAGATAACAATTGGAGCTAGTTTCACTTCTAAACATAGATCCAACACCATGTTACCATGTCGACAAGGGTGGTAACATGACTTTATTGGAAGAGCAAGAAGCAACCTGGGGCTGCTAGAGCCAGTGCTGAGTCAGAACATCATGCCATAGACTAGCTATGAGTTGATTTGGTTAAAATATCCACTTATAAATTTGTTTTCCAACCGTCAAAACCCATAGAGTTACTATCTGATAGCCAAGCAGCAGTGAGTATTGCTTTGAACCTCGAGTTTCATGAGAAAACTAATCACATTGAGCGATTTAATCAAGAAGAACTATAAAATGTGATTCGAACTACTCATCTGAAATCAGCAGACTAACTAGCTAATACATTAACAAAATCCTTGAGAAGAGCTTGTTTGAAGTTTTCTTGTAACAAGGTTGGGACATGTGATCTAAATCCTCCAATGTTACAATATGGGATAAATGACCCATATAGTTTATTTTCTAATATTTCTATTCCTTATATAGCTAATTATTCTATTAATAGTTTTCCTTGTCTTCGCGTAGGGATCCCTCTTAATAGCTGTATATATAAAATATATCAAAATCAAAACATTGTCTTCAATATTGTCAATATTGCCAACACTATAAACATGAACGAATTTCCACATCAAATATTGAAGAATTGAGGAAAAAGCTTCTTCTTTCTTTACGTAACTCTCTAATTTTGTGTGCTAATGACTTAAATGAACAAAGAAATACAAAAGTACAATATCATACAGAGAATAGTAACATAATGCACTGCCACTGATTACTGAGATGCAACTAGAGATTGGAAGAGTAGCACATCGTTAGATTAAAATGTTGCATATGGTGTGGTAGAAAGATGCTGTATACCATTCTAAGAAAGCAGTCAGGCCTCATCTTGTTCTGGGAAAATTTTCCAGGAGACATAAGACGAGCCCTTTCAATTTTCACCTCAATATCTTTCAAATCTGCAACCACGACATCATTGTTTGCCATTGGATGGGGAAATATAAATAAAGTACCATGCATAAAATAAGAAGAGGAAAGAAGATAGAGAACTTTAATGTGGTTTAGCAGTGTGCTTACTCCAACTGCAAAACTTTTCACCACTGAAGAACTCAAGCCTATAACAACGGTTTTAATGATTTTTACTTTCTACAGAAGAAAGAGAAAACCCAAAGTTACAGAAATACTTCCCAAAATTTTTTCCCTAGCCTCAAAATTAGCATACATGCCTTAGGGGACTTTGCCCCTTGCACCTCCTAGTAAACTAAATGACCACGCTATAAGAAGAAAATGATTCATCATCACTTTTTTGTGTATGTGGAAGGGATGTGTTGCCCAAACCCCAACCCTTTGGAATGTGATAAAGTTAATGAGACATGTGCAAAATGCAAACCATCTCCAGAAGTTAAATGATATGCTACAAATTTAATTTCCCATAATATCAACAAGAATCTCAAACTAAAAAGCGACCTGATGCAGTTGACAAATTTGAACTCGTGATGTCTGCTTTATGGTATGTGATTTGATACTTCGGTTGACCAATTATTTTTGCATCAGGATTCATGAAATCTGGACCTCTTGGAAAAATTTTGGGCTTGATCTGATACAACATACTCCATAAAGATAACATCCAAGGATCCAAAGCTCCTTCATACCTGGAAACCAATACCAAGATTTCCTTATTTTCTATCATTGAAGAAAAATGATCTCATTGTATCTTTTTTTTTTTCAAGATAAAAAGTACATATTGTTTATTCACAAGGTACCAAGGGGGTACCACTCATTTACAAAAAAATTTATAAATGTGTTAGTATATTAATGACATTCCCAAAATCTTCCAACCTATAAATGTCATGTCCTAACATCAAGGAGCCAAAATGATACAACCATCTATCCCTGGTCTTAGACATCTCACTCTCAATACCCTCAAAAATCATACTATTCTCTCTTTACATATAACTCAATAATTAGCGGAATAAGTTTTACAAATGTTCTCTTTTTATATAACCCTTCCCAAACCCAAATTTCATCTCTCACCGTTTCCGCTATAACCTAGTTAATCCCTAACAGATCGTAGACCATTGACCATAGTTCATAAGCCATTGGGCACCAGAGAAGAATGTGATTACAGGATTCTGTAGCTTTTTTGCACAAGTAACACCCATTCACCATAATTTGCCTCTTGTCATCAGCTTGTCAATTGTCAATATACATTCTCAACCTGCCTCCCAAGCAAAGAAAAAGTAACCCTCAGAGGCACCTTCGCTTTCCAAATCTGATAAGCGGGGAATTTGGAAACCCCGTCTGACTCTCTCCCCATCAAATAATTATAATAAGACTAACAGTGAACCCCCTATTTTCTTTCAACTTCCACACAATCTAGTCCATGTTGTCATCAACATGCACCGTGGATAATAACAGTAGAAATGCTTCACACTCTTCAACTTTCCAGTCATTCAGATTTCTGTTCACATTCACAAACTACTCCCTGTTACCATTACCTTCTATATACACGTCCTCAATTACCATATTCTTCAATTGTGCAGTGACAAAGATCCTCAGGAATTGCCTCTTAAGACTTCCCCCATCCACCAACTCATCCAACCAAAATCGGATTCTATTCCCCCTACCTAACTTCTTCCCCCATCCACCAATTCATCCAACCAAAATCGGATTCTATTCCCCCTACCTAACTTCGAGCTAATGCACTCCTGAAATTTTGGCTGATCCATCTAAATTTTCCTCCATAGTCCCATGCCATGCGGTCTCACCACATGGCCGATCTCATTGTATTTTACAGTACATCTAAAGAAAGAAATGTTTTAATTAAAAGTAAAAGATATTTTTTTTGAAAGGAAGAAAATAGAAATACCGGGGGGGGGGGGAGTAAATAGTTTAATGAAAGAAAGAGGATTATTGGCTTGATAGCATTGTGAGCAATGGTAAGTTGGAGAATATAAACTTTTTATGATTCTAAAGCTTTATGGTACTACAACTTCACCCAAGTAGTGAATTTGTTAGCTTGTCAAAATTTGTTGCTTGACTTATGATAGTAAGAAGTTATTTTGGTTGATTCCCATATTATTTA